TAAAGATTGTAACACTTTGCATCTTTTTAAAAATAAACTGAAAAATTTTTACGAAAAGTTCTGTTTTTCAATGATAATAATGTATATGTATATATATGTATATAAGTGTGTACATATTTCATTAACATTGATACATTTTCTCCTATTGACAATTTTATTTTATCATTGAGAAGCAATTTTGAGCTGCACGGTGGCCGAGCCCACAAGAATTAATTTTCTTTTTTTGGTCTCCTAATCATTCATGCTTTTGTTTTGTTTGATTGAATAAAAGTGATTTGATTTGATTTGATTTGATACATACATACACACATACATACATACATACATACATACATAGATACATACATACAAACATACATACATACATACATACATACATACATACATACATACATACATACATACATACATACATACATACATACATACATACATACATACATATATGATAATGTTACAAGCGATGGCGATGTAAGAAAAATTACGAAAGTTGGAAAAATAGGGGATGGCATGGTCAGGCCGATCTTGGTCAGATTTGATGATGAGAAAATAAAGGACATAGGACATAGTTTTTAAAAACATAAAGAGATTGAAGTCATTTTGTGGCGAGCTAGCTCAGGTAAGAGTGATTCAGGATCTTACCATCAAACAGAGAAAGGAAAAAAAATAGTCTAATGCCGGCTCATCAGTCTAGGTATCGCAAATTGCATTCAACTGAGACAACGTTACTGAACGTTTTTTCTAACGTCTGCAGCATCAGACAATCAAAATGTTTCTTTGTTGGCATTTCTTGACATGGGCACGGCATTTGATTGTGTAAATCACAATGTTCTGCTAAAAAGACTGCGCTATAGTTATGGTGTTTCAGATAAAATAAATTTATGGTTCCAGTCCTACCTGATCAACCAAACTCAACAAGTCTCATTTAATAACGAATTTTCGGAAGTCGCCTAGATCAGGTCAGGAGTATCTCAGGGTTTGGTACTTGGGCCTATTCTATTTTTGTTATAAACTGCGGATGTAGCTAAAGTGACTGAATTTTCCGGTTTCGTCTGTCATATTTTTGCTGACGACATACAAATAATTAACAAAGTTTTTTTGAAAATTATGAAAAATTTATCAGTTGTTTGTCGAATGTTGATTCATGGATGTCGAGTAACGGTTTGAAATTGAACCAGTGTAAGATCCAGTTGCTTCCAATCGGTACGTAGCAACAATTGGCAAGACTAGAAACGAGATCAATCATCATACAATCATCAATCACATCGACATCTTTCGCGGATGTCGCATCAAACCTGGGTTGTATACTAGACAGCAAACTGTTAACCCTTAACATACCAAGATCGTGAGTCAACGTAGTTCACCAAGCTGGGTCCTTTTTTAACTAAATAAATTGTTTGATTTCAATGGAAAAATCAAAATTTTTATTTAAAACCATTATCACTATTATTGTTATGCAAAAATTATTAAAATTTTTATGTAAATTTTTTTACGATCATTATTATCGTTATACAATTATTAATGCAAAAAAATTATGCGATCTAAACTTCTGGAAAGCAAAAAAAATATGTGTCTGTAATCAAAATTTATAATGTTTTGTAATACCATTGGTATATTAATTTAGTAAAAAGATATATACAGATCATGTGCTACAGTTCATTACACATGTGATAGTTGTGATGCTTTTCCTGTGTGCTCGACAATTGAAATATGAATGCCAATTGGATTGTTTGCTCTTCGTAAAATGTTGGATTTTGTTAGTTCTTTGCCCAACTCCATATGAAGCAAATACCTAAAAATTTTTTTAAATTAATCCAGTCTTTGATTTTTGAAATCCATTTAAAGCTCCAATATCAAGCATGTTTCTAAAAAGTCTCAGAGGCCATCTTGAGGTACGTCTAGCACAAGAATACTCCGTATTAATTTATCTGCATTGTTCACCCAGCCTTTGGTACGATTGTATTCCAGTATCATGTTTGGCTTTTTATGATTTTCATTTTCATTTTCATTATGATCATCCAAAAGTTACGATAATTGAATTTTATAACATAGAATACCAAGCGGGGTCTTTTCTGTACCCCAGGCGCTTTTTCAATTTTTGAATTTTGTTTAAAACAGAACTTTGTAATTATAATTAAACATTAATTAATCTAAGATAATATGAGACACATACAAAAATTAAGAAAAAAATAACTATTACAGTTAAAACTTGATCATCAAAAATTACCATCTGGGTCTTCGTGGGATGTTAAGGATTAATGAATGAACATAATACCATTTCGAGGGTTATATCAGTTTCAATAAAAATGTTGGTTCATGCATTTATTAGTCCTCAGCTGGATTATTTTAGCAGTCTGTTCTACAGCTTACTCAACAAATCAATCGTTATGCTTCAGTCAGTGTAGAATCTGGCTGCTAAGTTAATAACTGGTAAATTAAAGTTCGATCATGTTACGCCGATTTTGAAAGACTTTCACTGGTTACCAATAAAAAAAAAAATAAAGTTTAAAATTTGTCTAATTATGTTCAAGTCGTTAAATGGATTGGCGCCTGAATATCTAGTGTGTAAATTCAATAAAAAACAACGGCAACAAGTGCTTGTTTGAGATCAGACGAGCAATATTTACTGGCTATTCCGTCAAAAAAATTTCAATTTGGAATGCGAGATATTGCTGTAGCTGGACTTGCCGTATAAAACAGTCTGCTTTTGTCCTTAAAAAAACCGGGCTAGAATTTTATGGCTACAGCCATTGACGCTCGGGACAGACTGAGTAACTTTTAGGTAAAACTGGATGACACCAGAAAAAACTGCTGATGACTTCTGGAAAGTCAGATGGTAGGTCGGAAAGACGATCACTTGGGGAACGGGTTGGCAGCCCAATCTCTTTAAAAATACTCGCTTCGTCCATCAATGATATATGCCCTCAGAGCTCCAACCGAAAAGAGGGAGAGAATGATAAGCTCACTGGTGACTTACTCGGTAATTTGACTAATGCCTCCACGGACTCTATAAATAACAAAGGTGGTCATAAATGTGTATGTGGAAAAAGTTTCACATCTTCAAGAGGATTGAAAGTGCATCAAACTAAGATTGGATGTCTGTCAGGTACGTCGCATTGCTCAAATCTAGTGTTCTGTAAGACGGCGGAATCTACATATCAGGATGAAAACCCCAGTGTAAGTTGATTCCACGAATCGGATTTGGTAGAATGTCCAGTCAGAAAACGCATTTAATTTTCTTCAGCTTCAAAAAAGTAGTATGGTCAAAATTGGACGCTGAAATCACCAGGACCTTTATGGCGAGGTCCGTCTGTTTACGGATTTTTTGTATGAAAAATGTGCAAATCTGTTTGGTTTTTGTGAAACATTGGTCAAACCTAAAAAAAGGATGTTAAGAAGGCAGAGGGAAATTAATCAGCTGAAAAACAAGCAGAAACGTCTGAGAAAACTATGAAAAATGTCAAATGAAGAAAAATGTGATGATCTAGCTTAGTTGAAAGATGTAAAACTCAAAGTAAAACTGAGCAAGCAGCGTCGAGCGGAAAGGTTACGGTCAGAGAAACCGACAAAGGAAATCTAGACATTTTTTTGCCAACCCATACCGCTTTGGGAAACGGTTGTTTGAACAACCAAAATGCGGCAAATTGATTGTTTCGAGAATGGAACTAAAGATCACTTTGCACGAACCTACTCAACGATTGCTGGTGAATTGGAAGAAAATAGCATGTTGAAGACTAAAAAGGAACCCGGATACAACTTTAATCTAAGACTTCCTTCCCTTTGAGAAATTTAAACAATTTTGTCAAAAAGGAGAAACAGTTCATTGCCTGGTCCAAATGAAATACCGTATCTATTGTACAAGAAATGTCCCGCCGCAATGAAAGTCCCACATAAGCTACTGGTTAAATTCTGGAACTGCGAAGTTGTTCATGAAGACTGGCAAATTGCTAACGGAGTTTTTATTCCAAATGAAAAAGATTCAACCGCACTGTCGCAGTTTCGTTCCATCTCTTTGCTGAATGTGGAAGGTAAATAATTTTTGGCTGTCATTGCCGCCCGAGTAAATGTGCCAAATATGACATAGAACGGGTGGTGACAGCAGTACAACAAAATCAACAAGACAGATGGACAACGCGGGAGAGTGTGCTACAGAGGAGTTTAACGTAGAATGATATGTGGAACATGGCTCCATCAAGATTGGCATTTATTATAAGAGCCATGTATGATCTGTTACCATCAGGAGCAAATCTTGTTAGATGGAAGGTGGCAGGAAAAGCTGAGTGTAGCTTATGTGGAGAAATGGAAACAGTGGCCCACGTATTGGCTTCTTGGAAGTACGCACTCAGTCATAGACGTTATACGTGGAAGGACAACAAAGTATAGAAAGCACTATTGGAACTCGTTTCCAATGTTTGTGACGAGGTAAATTCAAGGCCACCGGGTAAACTATTTTCTAAGAGAAGGTAAATTGGATAAAACTAGGAAAAATGAAGTATGCAACGGAAGAAGTATTTTTTATAACGACAGAGATTGGAAGGTCATGGCAGGTATGAATGGCATGAGAAACTACCGAAACTACCCATCGTTCATAAAGGATAAAGGAACGAGACCCGACGTGGTGGTGCAGTCGGTGTCGCAGACACTGTTGTTCTGATCGAACTGACTGTACGTATGAGGCTAATATAGCAGCAAGTCACGCTATAAAAACAACCAATTATGAAGAGCTTGTTAGCGAGATTAAACAATGTGGGCTAAGGTGTTTGTTGTACGCAGTTCAGATTCGTGCAAGAGGTGTTGTTGGTTGTTCAGTGTACAGCTTTTTAAAGGATGTGGGTTTGGCGAATAAAAAGATGATCGGATTGTTTGAAAACCCTAGGACTCGAACATGCGTCTTACTGGATATGGTTATGTAGGAAGAAAAAGGAATGCGAGTTTAAATAGTTAACAGGCGAGTTTGTTTGCGCGTAAAGCTTCCGATTATTCAACAATCTAAGATTCGGCTCAACGTGTTACTTGGCTCGTCGATATAACTCACATTGTGATATGTTGATATTTGAACTTTCTGGCACGCCTAAAAATTTTACAGTATAAAAGGAGGTGATTTCAAAGCAAGACGAATTGTTTGTTCAGCGAGAGACATCCAACTGATCACTGGATGTGACCTGTTTCTAGAAATTGTTAGGAAGTTAAAGGGCCAAAACACCCGTTTTCTAAAACTCTTCCTTTTAAGACTCTCGCTGAACGCTCGTTATGTTCGAGTTTCTACATTATACATACATAAAATTAAAACTATAAACATTTTGAGAGCTAAAAGTTTTTGTCTCTCTTGAAGAGGATCACGATGGCGATGATGATGCTGAAGATGATGATGACGACGACGTTTGGGTTAATGATTTATCAATCAGTGGTTTGCTGTGTTGAATGGTTGTAAAAGATGTAATGATATTGAACTGCTGGCGAATGCACGATGGTTGAAAACGAATAGAAATCTACTTTACAAAATAAGGAAAAATAAAATTGTTCAAAAGCTTAAGATCTCTAAATTCTAAACATTTTTTTCATTCTGTATATGTAAA